AATTCTCAAAAACATAAATAAACCAAAAAACTAAAGTATTAAAACACATACAGCACAATTTACATCCTGTTGTACAAAATGTGGTTCTTGTGTTTTGCACACTTTTAATGAGCATCCTCACAGACTTAACATTGGATTTGCATGTACAAGTTAATAAGCTATAATAGATGCATAACATGTACAATACACAAAAACAATACATTTAATTATTTATCACGTTACAATTTTGTGTGCCTCCATTTCAGTGTATCTTTCTTTCTGTTTATTTCTCAGTCTGTCCATATCACCAATTGCCTCCTTATTCTTATTTTCGGTATTTATATAGCGCCAACATATTGCGCAATTCTTTACAATATTATAGGAAGGGTTATTTAACAATAAATAAGACAAATACAGAATGTTACAGGAAAAGTAGGTTAATGAGGACCCTGTTCAAACGTGCTTAAACCATTATACTCAATATCAGGTATTTTTTTAAAATGTTTATTTCTTTCTTTGTGCATAATATTTACATGCAGACAGTATAGGCATCGTATATTTTTTATCGCCTAATTTACATTAGCTAATTGATTGTAAATGTGATAACATTAATGAGGCTTGAAATTCGCATACTATTTATGTCATGAGGCTTAAACTTTAATCTGTGCTTGATCAATAAATTATTTTTGTAGCATTTCCCCTCTGGTCTTAGAGAGGAAGCGCTCGCATGCTGAACTTAGGCCTAAATAATGTCAGTTAAAGTCCAGGCCTCATAGTTCATTAATCAAATTGTTTTCATTAAAACTAAGGATTTATTTATACAGAACCTTCCAGCAGAAAAGTAAAGTCTTGTTGCTCCCAAAGACCCTTTTTTATTTCACCCTGCCTTCAATTCAATTAATGAGTAGTAATAAAATCATATCATTTATAACCTGATGCTCTCATCACCTTGTGATCTCTTCTCGTATTTGCTGATTAACGAAAGAAGGAAGTGAACGTTCATATGTTTGTTCTTCTTGTGTGATACAAAGAATAATTGAAATGGTCTAAGAAAAAAGACAGAGGTATACATTTTATTGCAGCTACAAAAAAAAATTCACTTCTAAATTTTATTTGATGGGATTGAAGACTTTCAATAAAAACTCACTAGGGAAATGAGGGGAACAGTTGGTAAACGCTGCCTAAAATTCAGTATAACACATAAATACATGGGCAGCCTAAAGTGTGAAGTAGTCATATTGATGGACAAGGTCCACGACAAGGACAAGCCATTCTCCATTGCAGAAATGAGATGGTGATGGGTAACAGTTTGTCTTTCCCTCCTGTTCTTCCACCACAGCACTTTCCTCCAGAGAGTCCAGCAATTGCTCTCATAGAGCCAATAGTTCTCTGCTTTCAGTGAATCTTGTAAAACTAGTAACTGATGCCTCTGTAACGCTTTGTAAATTAGGAAGTGATATCAGTGGTTGAGATGGGGTCAGGAGGACATCGTCCGCAAATAAATTCAGCCTGTATTCCGAAACAACACGCAAACTTCTGTACTGGTGGTACTTAACACCTGACAAACTAGCAAAAATTTACAAGACAACAGATGCTGGAGATGTAAACAGAGCATTGGCACAATGATCCACATTTAGTGGACATGCCCTAGGCTAGTGGAGTACTGGCCAATGGTGCACAATATTATACACAATGGCACAAACATCCAGATCCCCCCTCTATAGAGGTTTCTCTTCTATATATCATGCCTGAGGGCCTAACCAAACCGCTCGCGGTACCTTTAGCTAGCATCTCGCCGCAAGTGACGGCTTCTGACACCCGCACCACGCTCGCGGCGACTTCTCTGTCCCGCCCACCGCAAGCGGCGGGTTCCCATGCCTCTGTGCTGCTTGCGGCTATGTTCAGTCCCGCTGGCAGTGATTATGACGCTTGCAGCATGCAGCGGCCTTAAATAAACGCCCGAGTCAGCTTCCTGACTCGGCTCTCGTTGATGATGTCACTACTCACAGTGGGAGGACCAAATACCTTCCACGGTTGATAGCTACTTCTGATAGGAAGATAGCCAATAAGAGACTCCCTAAGCATATTTAAACTCACCTCTTCCGTTCCTTGTTGCCCCGTTGTGGTCTTTTTATAGCCCAATGGCGCGTATACTCTGTCTTTTTGTCTGATTGTCTGGTTACCGAAATTTTGGCTTGTCTCATCGTTTATCCTCCTCTCTCTAACCCCTGACCTCGGCTTGTCCTATCGATTATTCTGTCTCTCTGGGTTCCCCTAACTTTGGCTTGTATACTGACTTCTCTCTGTGTGCTCAGGACCAGTACGCACTTTCTGTGTCTGTGTTTTGTCAGCGTGTCTGGTGCTGGAGTTCTTGACAGCCACATTGCTGGTAAGGAACTGGAAGTCCACAATGAATCCCTTCAAAAACAGATATAGTAGAACAGGCTACCATGTAAGTAACGAAAAAATAGCAGCCAATAATCAACCATGGAGGCGTACCAGCTATGGGACGAGTACATATCCAGATCCTCACAAAGATAAGTATCCACATTCCACACAAAGGCACTAAATGGAAGGGTGAGCTACACGGGGTGGATACTCAACTTTATAGCCAACTCAGAGATGGTGGAGTGGATAGGAGAGAAGGGAGGGGGACTCCTTCTTAGACCAAACTTCTAACAAAGGGTCCAATACGATATAGGTTTCAGTCAATGTATCCAGCCAAAGTTAATTTCTGTAGTTCTTATTTTATGTAGTTATTAGTTCGCTGATTTTCCGAACTCAATCGGCATGTGTCAAGGCTGGGATAATGGAGAAGCAGCCAGCACTAGCAAGATACTCATCTCTCTCCATAGAAAGCCCAAAATATTAGCTTCGTCCCCCACGACGTACAACCATTCAGAGAGATAATGTAACCTGGTTGAATGCAATATAGAAGTATGGGGGAATGCAAAGGAACAAAATATCTAGTTTTATAAAAGTTCTGATGTAAAAGATCTTGACAGACCTGTACCGTACTGAATATGCACTTGCCACTGTTATGATGTATGTTTTACGATGTATGCTACAATGAAAAACCTTCAATGAAATACACGTTGATAAAAAAAAAAAAAATTAATCACCCGCTGGAGCTGCCGCATTTTTATTTGTGCGTGTAGATGGGGGTTTGCAGCCGGCGGAGCATCAGATAGCACAAGACCTGCTCCTCTCCTGCACTGTGTGACTACAGACATCACTGATGTCACAACGTCATTGACTTCTCACACGGGGTTGGCACCCAGCACTGAATTATCATTCTCTCATGCATACTCATGGCTACCACTCACTTTTGCAGCAACTTTTCCAGCCACACAAGCTTCCCCTATCATTGAAAATTGATTATCCTGCACAAATAATTAATTTTTCAATTTTGTTGATATCTCTTCATATTATTATTATTTTATTATTTCTATATATGAGTCTAATGAATTTTTGGGCCTGCTGTGGACTTTGGACGTATCCCAATCATTACCATCAGTAGTAAATTGAGAGTAAATTGTTATGCTAAGAAGCATAAGTTATGTATTTTGACCTTTCAACAAAAAAATATTATTGGTCAAAGAGGTCCTTTTGCAAAAGCTATGGGTGACATGATTGTGTCTCCATATTATGTTTGTTTTCTATATTGTTTCCTATATTGGTGTCTGCTGAATTGGGTTGTTTGTTTGTGTGCTTTGGACATATCCCATCATTAAAAGATAGTTTTTTTGTTTATAAGAGGCATGACTGTATATCTCACCATTTATTGGGCAAATCAGTGGTTAAACAGTTTTTTTTAAAAAACCCTCAGTGCTGTGAAGGTTAATCACGTGGTGGCTGGCTAGATGCCATATTAAAAAGTGTTAAAAAATTATATTACTATAAGGGAGGTTTTACACCTCCTTTATGATCTCACCGCCCATGCTGCAGGTAGAGGCATATTTATTAAACAGTGAGCAGCAAGCAACTCTTATTACGGGCTGTCTAAACACGCCCCACTGACGCTACGGAGGTAGGGTTACACCTTCAGCAGGAAAGGGATAGGTGCAACAATTCATTGTGAACTGCTGCAAATACAGACTCCAGTCACAAAGACCACTTCAAATTACTAAAGTTGTGATGGTGTTTGGAGTAACATTTTAATAAAGAAATATACCAGAAATATACAACTTAGCAGACATATTACTGACAATGCTTACATTATGGGGTACAACAATGCCCATTCTGTTAATCTCACCTGACTGACTCTGACAATTGCAGGTCAGAGGCATATTTGTGTGCTGGGGGTGCCTAAACGTACCCTTATGCATGGCAACTTTATTGTCAATTTCTTGTTTAAATCCATATCAGTTCAGTTTCTCGTTATGTATCTGACTTTATATTTACGTACACAGTCTTCATTGAGAAAAAAAATGCCCTATTTTTATGTTGAGGTTTTTTTTGCTTTGAATAATTTTTAAGAATTGAAATTAAAAGGAATAAATACAACAAAGGTCATGAAATTATCAGACGCTACAAATATGAATTCCTAGATCAAGCAATAGTTAAAATATGGGAGATAAAATAACACACAATTAAGAGTAGATCCCCGTTCTTTCTTTACAAACAGCTAACCGTTTTAAATTTTTATTTTTTTATTTAAAGAGTGAGTCACACCCCAAAACAACAATGTGGGCACTATAGATCTCTAAGATAAAATAAATAGACCAAATAACAGGATTGGGACAGATACAGAACAGAACACTATTCTAAAACAAAAAGTGCTACAAGATCATTTATAATGCTACATTTTTAAAGTAACATGTAGATGGTAATTTCAAAAAGATCAATCCTGTTTCAAACTTGTTTTAAGAATAATTTCAAATGACTACAATAACTGTGCTGATACACAGTCAGACTCAACTGAACCCAGGCACCATTCCACAAGTTAACAAATAACAGAGTGGACACATTGACCAATCATTGATCTTTTACAAGCAGCCAATCCACATCCTGCTAGTGATCAGCTTTCTCCAGTACTGCATGCTTGCTACACTCGGATTGCATTGTGGGAAGAGCTGGCTGTGTTCTTAAAGTTAAAGCAAACAAATTGTCTGCTGACTTCTTTTAGGTATGTGATTTTGCATATATATATATATAGCTTTAATGCTACTTGCCCGACTAAGAGAATTGATGTTTGTTTTTAGAAAGTTACACAGTTCACAGTAACAGTAAAGGTTATACTGTAAAAGCTAATCTCCCAGTGAGACTCATTTCCTGTAATTAAATCCCTCGGTCAGTGATCAGGCATGTTCTATATATACTTACAGTGACCTCCTGCATTTACACTTCTCTTAATTTCAGCTCTGTAACAGTGTGACTCCTTGTGTAGTTGGCGTACTATAAAAATAATAACAGGCAGAACATGTTTCGTAGTCATTTTGTTATTTATAAAGCACCAACATATTCAGGAGTGCTGTACAACAGGTGAAATTACAAACCAAGAATTTGTTAGGCAACACATAGCAAAAGTGTTCGAAAGGCCCCGATTACCTTTCGCAAGTAATTGAGGAAAAATATTGGTCATGAAAGGGTTAATGAATAACAAAAGAAGAGTGACTGTCAGTAAATTGGCCGACTGGTAAGTTCAAAACTTTGAAACATTCTATTTTCAATAATAAAAAAAAAAATATATATATATATATATATATATATATAAATTTTTTTTAAAGTACGTGCCCTTTTGTCATCTCATCAAGTGCAATGTCTTTTTGCATTGTTCGGCGTGATGCTTTTAAATGTTGAATTATAATCTATATATAGGAATAAATGTGGAGAGAGAGAGAGAGAGAGATTAATATCTACATTTTATTTGAAAGTCAACATCGGGAGTGATCAGGGTTTAGAATGTTGAGATAAAATAACTATTAGTTTTAACCCATTTTTGTCTCAGATATGGATTTTGATGTAATGAAAAAGCATTGTTTAGTTATAACATAATAGATGCATTTAATCATTTAAGCAGAATGCAGTACATACTGTTGCTTGCTATGGATAGAGTCCGTTATGACACATTAGTTACTTCAGTCTGAATTATACCATAGCGGAAGATGGACTTTGTCCCCGGGCTGTATAACCAGTCTGATGAACTGGGATTTCTGAATTGTTAGCATTTCACTTGTCAAAAGTGCTATTTATCCTTCGAGGAAAGTGATAATATTTTACCAGGGGCATTGGAAACCTAACGCTTTTCTTGCAGACATAATGCAGATATTGCTGCGAGAAAGAGGAGAAAATATTTTTTTCCAATTTGGAATTTTGCCTGGTTTTTCCTCAGAGCTAGCTTGCGGTGCTGGGGACGACTCTTAGAAAATTGTAAACTTCTAACAAGAAAAGTAAGGATATTAAAAGGGGAGGCATGACACATATAAAATGCTGTAATCTGGTATTTTATTTAAAGGGTAGAAATAGTTGTGAAGACAAAATACAGATAAAGCCAAGTTATAACAGTGTGTGTGTGTGTGTTTGTGTGTGTGTTTGTTTGCGTGTGTGTGTGTTTATATTAGTGTTGTAATAGAGATTATAGCCATATTAGTTCAGTAAATAAAGATGATGTTTAAAAACAGATACAATTAGTATCTTGTAATACATTTTTTACCAGAAAAATTGAATTTTGGAACGGCAAGTATTTGGGAATTCATTCCTTTATCAAAATGCTTTAGACTTATAAATTGTAAGAGTGCTGCTACGGCCAAGTTTTAATACAATATACAAGATCCAGCACATTTGGGATTTAGTTACAGTATATGGTCATATATTGCAATAAGTGTGCCATAACGTCAACTTAAAGCAGCCATAGAAAAAATCCTATACCTGCATAGTGCGCAGATATAGAGGAGGAAAAGATGACTTTAAATGGAAAACTGAAAACTATTACTCCAACGTGAAATAAAGCACTCAAACAGCTTTAAAATAAACAAAAGAGCATATTTATTTCAAGCAGACGTGGATTTGATCATGCTCTCCTCCTTCAAACTCTTCAATCGCTCGGTCTCTGTGACTCTTGTGGTTTTCCTCTTATCTCCCCCAACGCTCATTCAGTGTCTCCTTTTCCAAGGATACCTCCTCCCCTCGTCCTGTCTCGCTTGGAGTCCCCCAAGGCTCTGTCCTTGGTCCCCTTCTATTTTCTCTTTATACTGCCTCTCTTGGCAAACGTATTGCCTCTTTTGGATTCCACTACCACAGTACGCTGATGACACCCAAATATATCTCTCCTCCCCAGACCTCTCCGCTGCCGTCCTGCAACGTGTCACTGCTTTCCTTTCTTCCATCTCTGACTGGATGTCCTCCCGCTTTCTGAAACTCAATCTTTCTAAAACTGAGTTCCTTGTCTTTCCTCCTCCTAATACTGATCCTCCTCTCTCGCTCTCCCTTCAAGTCAGTGGTATCCACATAAGTCCGTCTCCTTGCGCGCTGTCTTGGCGTCATACTTGACTTTGGTCTCACCTTTGAGCCTCACATCCAGTTTGTTGCCAAATCCTGTAGATTCCAACTTAAAAACATAGCCTGCATCCTCCCTTTTCTTACACAAGATGCTACCAAGGAGCTTGTCCATGGTTTAGTAATTTCGTGCATGGATTATTATAACCCTCTCCAAATTGGTCTTCCCAAAAGCCGTATCGCCCCGCTACACTCTGTAATGAATGCTGCAGCTAGACTGATTTTCCTCTCTAGTCGGTCCGCTCACACCTCACCCCTCTGTAAGTCCTTACATTGGCTTCCTGTATCCTATAGGAGTCAATTCAAAATGCTAACGCATACATATAAAGCACTGAACAATTCTAGCCCCTCTTATATCTCTTCACAGATCTATAGGTATGCCCCTCCTCGTTCCCTCTGCTCTGCCCATGACCACTTCCTGACCACTGCTCGCACCCGTACGGCCAACTCATGCTTGCAGGACTTCTCGAGGGCGGCTCTCTTCCTATGGAATAGCCTGCCTACCCCCATCAGACTCTCCCCTAGTCTTCAATCCTTTAAGAAGTGCCTTAAAACCCATCTCTTTAGGAAAGCTTATGGCCTCCCAGAGTAACCTCTACCTTACACATCTGTCTCTTGCTCTCTCCTATAGGGCAGCACTTTACTCTCTCCTCTAGTCCTGCTTCACTCCCACCTTATTTGATTGCTATTTGCTGTCCTAATGTGTTTTATACCCCACCTCCTATAGACTGTAAGTTTGTTTGAGCAGGATCCTCTTCAACCTATCGTTGCTGTAAGTTTTCTTATAACTATCCTATTTATAGTTACATTCCCCCCACCCCCCAGTTCTTAGAATATTGTAAAGCAGTACGGCATCTGTTGGCGCTATATAAATGGCAATAATAATAATAATAATTTGCATATAGTCAATGTTTCAGTTCAACTACCTTGATATATTAAGGAAAGTTTGGTAATGAGATTTAAATGGGGAATGTATAATGTTGCACAGCTGTGAAAAACAACGTTATCATGTTTATATTGAAGTCCTATGAGTGTGCTTTCACTTTGGCCTAGGTCTTTAAATGTGATAATCTTAGCCAATCCAATGCTTCCCCATCTTGCCATCAGTGCTCTTCCATGATTATATCAGGCGTCATCTGCCTGAGGTTAAAATAAAGAGACACTATAGGCACCAGACCACTACATCTCATTGAAGTTGTCAGGGTGCAGTGTCCCTGTACTCTTAACCCTACGGTGTAAAACACTGTCATTTTTGATACCCTAAAATGTTTACATTAAAGGGTTAAGACTGTCTCTAGTGGCTATCATCGGCCACTTTATTTGCCACTCGGAGAAGATGCAACGAATGGTTTTGTACCATGGTGTCTTATAACTAAATTCTGCCACTGCAAAGCAATGCACTTTTGCAAGCACAGTGTAAAATTCATACAGTACCTGTACCTTCCACTTTGCTCCAGAACAATTTGTTATCCTAGAACGAGCATAGGACACTATTCTGTTTCTCAGCATCTTTGCTGAGGATATGTAAATGGTGCCCCCAAAATACTCTATGACTATCTCTATAGAATATATTTTGAATGTTCATTCTAGAAACCAAAAATCTGTGTGAGCGTATCCTCTGGATATCTGTTACAGATTGCAATAGAAGACTGTAGTCCCAATAGTAAAGATGCTCGGTGTAACTGTATTTCTAACCTCTCAGATACATACCATCCAACAATGGGAAATGTGGGTATGTGTTTTGGACAAGGTAGGCGGGTAGTGAGAGTGGGTGTGCTAGTGATGCAACAGTGACGTAGAAATCAGCACTTTTATAAACTGGGGTTAAATGAGGGTACTGAACTGAAGTGTTTTTGGGGTGTGGAGTGGCCCTTTAAGGTCAACCAAGGATAGAACACCACTGAAGCACTCTCTCATGGACCCAATGCTCTTCGCACAGCATGCATGCATATGATTATGTATTTGTGTTGTGCTTGCTGGCGACAGTTCCCTGGTGTTGTTGAATAAGTTGCTGTTTTACTCAACTACACCTGCCAAGTCACACAGCACTACCAGATTTCCCCTCAGTCCAGATCATCCAACAGTCCAGCTCTGTCACCAGGTCCTCTGTCCAAGGAAAGAGCACTAGAATTGCCTCTTTGACCATGCTAGTAGTGTATGTAGAGTAGTATTTAGAGCATTTTATGTCAATATATGAATCCTAAAGCTATGCAACGAAAACCTGTATCCTTACGCACATGCACACCAGGATGACCTGTCCTCTTTGAGGACATTGTCTGTGATACACATTCCGGCACTAGACATGACCAATCAACAATCATGTCCTCATCCACCTAATGTCAGACCTGCAAAAGTTGCCAGGCATGTACAATGTTAACGAGCTGGCAATGCTATGCATTAGAGGAAGGTAGTGAAAAGGTTGAATAAAGCTCACTTTTTACTTTCGTATTGGACCATTAGATTCAGGGATCATTTCTAACTTATATTCTCAATTATAAATTCTTCTATCCTGGAATTTTAAGTTTTAACGTTACCTATATTATAATTTGTAGCAAATGATAAAATGCTGACTTACTTATATAGCTGTTAACATCATAGCTTTGGTCATAAACACATTCATTTCAAGCCGTAAAATGTTCCGCTCTGAGAATGAAGTCCTCTGGCTCAGTTATAAAGTCTTATTCCACATCATAAACATTGATAGCATGAATGAACAGTGAAATATTGAAGGTGGGCGATTTCCCATAGTTCACAATCTCTGACATTTGCAAATTGCAAATTAAAGTAAATTCATCAACATCATACAGTGGTATTATTTTGAAGAGCACATTTTATATTAAATATCCATCGCCAGTGCTCATTATGTGCCAGGAAGTTTAGAACAATCTTGCTTAAAGCTGGTTATTTAGTTGAGTTTTCAGATTTCCTTGAAATCTCAACAGCTAGAGCAAATTATGTTTGTTTTGATTAATGATCGTATGAAGCTGCAGTTTCATTTTGTCTATATATTTTATACCCCAGGGACCAGGGTCATATACGCCTAAAAAAAATGTTTAAAGAAATATATTACTATAAAATGATTAACTTGATTGTAAAGAATGCCTTTAAGCTGCTCAATTGTATTGCAAGTACCCATTATATTTGTGTGTGTATGTATATGTATATACATATATATATATACATATATATATATATATATACAGTTGCAAGAAAAAGTATGTGAACCCTTTGGAATGATATGGATTTCTGCACAAATTGGTCATAAAATGTGATCTGATCATCATCTAAGTCACAACAATAGACAATCACAGTCTGGTTAAACTAATAACACACAAAGAATGAAATGTTGCCATGTTTTTATTGAACACACCACATAAACATTCACAGTGCAGATGGAAAAACTATGTGAACCCCTAGACTAATGACATCTCAAAGAGCTAATTGGAGTGAGATGTCAGCCAACTGGAGTCCAATCAATGAGATGAGATTGGAGGTGTTGGTTACAGCTGCCCTGCCCTATAACAAAACACACACCAGTTCTGGGTTTGCTTTTCACAAGAAGTATTGCCTGATGTGAATGATGCCTCACACGAGGTACCTTAGTCGCATCTGGCGTTAAGTAGGGTCTGATGCGCGCAATGTTTTTGAGATTGAAGCAGCAGGATTTGGCGATAGACTGAACATGAGGCGTGAAGGAAAGGTCAGAGTCAAAAAGAACACCTAGGCAGCGAGCCTGTGTGGTGGAGCTGATGGTAGCACCGTTGACTTGGAGGGAGACTGACACAGGAGTAGCAACACTTGAGGGAGGAAAGACCAGAATTTCAGTTTCTGTCAAGTTAAGTTTAAGGAAGTGGGCAGTCATCCAGTTAGAAATAGAGAGGCAGTCAGAGACACTAGTCGAGAGGGACGGGGAGAGATCAGGTAGATTTGCGTGTCATCCTCATAGATATGATATTGGAAGCCAAAGGAGCTAATTAGTTTACCAATGGAGGCAGTATAGATGGGGAACAGTAGGGGACCAAGGACTGAACCTCGGGGGACACCAACAGTGAGGAGTTGGGGAGAAGAAGAAGAGCCAGAGAAAGAAACACTGAGAGAGCTCTGGGAGAGGTAAGAGGAGCACCATGAGAGAACAATATCTTGTAGACCGATATTGCGGAGGATGAGAAGAAGCTGATGATGATCAACAGTGTCAAAAGCCACAGAAAGGTTAAGGAGAATTAGGATAGAGTAGTGACAATGAGATATTGCAGCAAGTAGATCATTGAATACTTTGGTCAGTGCCGGTTCCACAGAGTGCTTAGCGCGGAAACCAGACTGAAACAGGTCTAACAGAGAGTTGGACTTGAGGAAGTCTGTCAATGTCGCATACACAACTCTTTCAAGGATCTTGGACGCAAAAGGCAGTAGTGAGATAGGACAGTAGTTGGACGGGGAGTTAGGGTCAAGGTTGGGCTTCTTTAGAATTTGGGATACAGTTGCATGTTTGAAGGGCAATGGAAATATGCCAGAGGAGAGAGAGAGATTGGGAATTTTAGTGAGAGGCAGAGAAAGAGACTAGAGAGCAAGGTTTGTAGTGTTTATTTGTTTGATAGCCTCTAATAATTAATATTATTGAATTGCTGAAAGCAAGGAGTGTGGTCTCTGAATGTACACACAGTTTCTAAGTTATAATATTTAGTTATTAATTTTATTATTAATTCCATAAGTATATTTCACAAAGATACAAAAGGCAAAAAATAGTGCTCTCTGTCAAACTGTACACTAATAATTGTGTAGGTAAAGGTTATTTATTCACATTTGATGGAGCAATATACACTTGCTCAGGAATTAACGCTTGTGTGATACAATCCCCACAAGGGATATAATGTAGAGTAGCTCCTGCAAAGGGTATACATGTGCCAGGAACAGTAGAACAAAAAACTAAAATAAACAAAACAAACTTAAAAGGATATATAATAAATGGTCAGACACATAAAATAGGTGAATGCCAAATATCTTTAATGCTTAAAATAACTTGTATAAAATAACACAACACGTTTCGTCTACTAAGGACTTTCTCAAGTGTTAACTAGGAGAGGCCTTGCACTTTAGGGTTTATATAGGGTGGTCTGAGGTCCATTTGAATCAGACAACCGGTCCTGTAACTTCCTGGTTTGGTTAGCTCAGTGGAGCTAAACTCAAGAGGCAGCAATTGCCCAGATCACCTGCCTTGCAAAAACTTCTCATTGAGCTTCATTGGGAAGTCTGTGATTGGACAGCCCAATATATCTAATCCCAATTATCTAGCTCCTGATTTGCCCACATTCACCATTTTGTCACACTGTCCCATATATACAGGGCCGAACTGGGGATACAAAGCAGCCCTGGAAAAAAAATATATGCCAGCCCCATAAGTCATTGTGACATATATTGTCGCATGTAATATGTAAGGCTATGTCTTGCCACCCCAGAGGAATGAGTAATATATATATATATATATATATATATATATATATATGTGTGTGTGTTGCTTTTTCTAATATAAAATATCGGTCCTTTCAGAGTAAAATGTTGAATTATACAGTAAGCATACTCACATGCAGACACAGACAATCTCACTGACACACACAAGCTCATTGATACACAGCCTCATAGACAAACTATCTCACTGATATACATAAGCTCATTGACATAAAAACACAAGCTCACTCAGTAGCAGGCACACACACACACACACACACAGAGCTTAATGTAGTCGTTTTGGTGTCTATTGCCTGTCCCTGCAGGCTTTTCAATGTAAACACCAACTTTTCAGAGTAACTAGAGGTGCTTCCTGTGTCAGTGCGGATTGACTGAGATCATCAAGCTTGATGATCTCAGCCATAGAGGCAGGGTCAGTCGAGGGGAGACCAGCACGACATGGGGGGGGAAAAAGGTGAATAATAACACTATTTTTAAAAAGATCCACGCAGACATGACAGATGACAGAAACACACACACACACCTTGACACACACACCATGACACAGACAGACCACGACACAGACACACAGACACCGTGACACACACAGACAGAAACACAGACACAGCATGACACAGACACACCATGACACAGACAGACACACACACCCTGACAGACAGACACACACACACCATGACACAGACACACACATACCTTGACAGACACACACACACACACACACACCTTGACACACATGACGTCATATTCCGGCCCCAGTCTCATTAAGTAGCGCGCGAGGGCAGGGGAACAGCGACAGAACAGCCAACTCCCCCTGCGGCCGCCAGAACAGCCAGCTCCCCCTGCGGCCGCCATCAGAGCTCCCCCTGCGGCCGCAGGTCAGCCAGCTGTCTGCCCAGCCCCAGGTGCCGACGGCCCACCGGGAAATTTCCCGGTATCCTGGTGGGCCAGTCCGGCCCTGCATATATACCGCATAATTTGGTGTCAGTTTGCAGTATTACTGCTGTATAGCCCAATACAGAAGCATTGTCCCAGATTACTGCGTTACCAAAAAGAGTCTACTGTCCCTATTGCTCACATATGGCTGCCATATTGTCTCTTGTTTCCTTACCTCTATTCTCTACATATTGTTATTTTGTCTGCTTGTCCGCTTTGTCTGTTTGCTGCTGCCATATTCCCACTATGTCTGTATTATTATTATTGTTGTGCACTGGGTACAGATATTTTTATTTTTGTTTTTGTTTTTTAAAGACGAATGTGTCATGCAGCTATATATTTTTTGTCAGTTGATGTTGAATGGCGATTTTTTGTTGTTGTTATTTTGCCCCAGATAGCTCGCTATCAAAAATCATGTGCGCCTTATCAGCATGTGTACAGTGCCTTCCACTAACACTGGTACACTTGATAAATATGAGCACAGGAGACTGGGAAAAAATGTCTGTATTGTTAAAACTTTTGATCTTTGTTCACAAAAATATTCTGCTCTCATAAACATTAAACAATTGCAAACACAACAAAAAATATTTGTTCAATATACGTGTGGTACAATTATTGGCACCAATACGAAACAATATATTTGAAGTATATTCCCATTGATATTTTAACATTTTTTAGTACACCTGTGTTGTGTTTGGAATTGTATGACATTGACATAAAGCTAATTAGAATAAAATTTAAAATGAGCGTTTTTTCTCTCCACAAGATTGCTTAGTGTCAACTTTAACATGAGGTGACATTCTGTTTTCTTGTTGTTGTTGTTTTTTTTACTGTATAGTTTTTAGTTGTATGTGTTACATTTTATGAAACAGAAAAAGTGTTTAATAAATATTTTATTTTTCACACATCATTAATCTTTGACAGTTCGTTTATAATAGTGACAGCGAGATCATCGAAATGACACAATGCCAGTATTGTAAATAAAAAACCTGATATTTGCAAGGAACACTTGAGTGTGAATTTACCACTCATTTAAAAAAAAAAGAGAGAGAAAATATGTACTGTATTACAATAAAAATGTATACGCTTTCTGAATATCCCTTTTTATGGTAACTGAAATCTTAACTTTCTGTCTGCTTAAATGAGCGACTGGCTAAAAACTCTCAGCCAGTTCCTGGTCTCTTATAACGTTCTGTGGGAGAATCCGCATGCACACACCAGTAAGAAATCACATGTTTATGCTCGCTCATCTCTCATTATTAAAGAACACTATAATATTGGGAATACAAACCTGCATTCCTTTTTTTTTTTTTTATTCTTTATTTTTGTCGTGCATGTATCAACACCAATTACACAGAGCCACATCAGCGTCTGTGTGTATCTTACAGCATTTGACAATGTCACAGGTTAATACAGCACATTTTTAAGGTTAAAGAGTAAAAAATAAGACAGAAAAAACAATTCTGTTAGTAAACAGTGGGGTGGACGATACGCAACACTCTATACACATTAAATTTCGAATTCCGTTTTGATAAGTAATGGCAGTCTTGCTACTTACATTGCTTATTAATATAAAAAGAGGCACATTAACTGTGAGAGACGCCCAGAAAATATCAGGGAATTAATGAAAATAACGAATCAGTACAGTCATAGTGCCTGGCCTTATCGTGTGTAGTTATATGGACTTCACATGCCCATCCCTGACATATGCCCAAGGAGTCCACTATCTAAAGTTAGGTGTTGTAGAGTGCGACTAGCATGGCAGCCATACCATGATCCCATTCTACGCAAAAGCCCAACTTGCTCACAGACTACATTGTTCATCCAACCGTATCTTCGTATCGAAAGGAGGTGAAAAAAGAAAACGCCACCTCCCATGGAGAAACCAGAGGGAGGGGAATAAAAAAAAATAAAGAAGGATGAGACTGAAAAAAGGGAAATTCCAAAGTGGAGAGCGGCGCGCGCTTAGGGTTATCTTATGCACCAATTTTTGTTCCCTCCTGGTCCAACCATCGAGAGACCTATTTAGCAGGTATACCCACGGATCTAGACGTAGGGGTCTGTTGAACGTCTGCCTCAGGAGGTCTTCCACTGACCTCCAGAAGCCGGTGAGTTTTGAACATTCCCACCACATATGGATATATGTGCCCCGGGAACCACAGCCCCGCCAGCAGTCATCATTATCTAATTTGTGCATGCGATATAGTTTCACAGGCGTGGTATACCACGAAGCATAGTTTTCCATGCTTGCTCTTGGAGAGTGACACAAATCGAGACAGTGGTATTCGCCTCCCATATCTCCCTCCACTCCAGTCCCTCCAAGACTTCACCGAGGTCCGATTCCCATTGATCCGTGTAATTCAGACTTCCCCATTCACCAGTTTCCGCGCTCAGGTGAGCATATAGAAGTGTAATCATACCCTTGGGGGCGGTCCCGTTGGAGCAAAGCCTTTTGAAAAAGGTAATCTGACCCAGAGCTGCTGCCTTAATGCGAGGTTTGCTAGCGAAGTCGCGAATCTGGACATAGCGGAAAAAATCAGCGGGGGTTAAATGGACAAACCTGCATTCCTAACGCTATAGTGCCCCGTCCCTAATTGGAGTAGTGGCCTCTCTTAATATAAAAATTAAGAAAATAAAGATTTTTGCTTACATTTTTCTAGCACCAAGGCTCACTCGGTGCTGCTTGCCTCTGCACTCCTACAATGACATTGAGTAATGGTTCAATGCAATGCTTCTTATAGAGGAGCATAGGGGGGACCTAATGTGCATGCGCAGAGAATGCAGCGACCACATCCAATGCTTCTCATAGGAAAGCATTGTAGTCACAATGAAACCGAGCTTTACTCTGTCAGTGTAGCAGAAGCCCCTCTAGTGGCTATCAAGATGACAGCAACTATAGGTGTGCTTGACCCTACAAAACTGCAATGTTTTACATTGCAGGGTTAAAATGGCAGGGCTACTGCACCTGGGTCTCTTCATTGAGATGAAGTAGTCTGGATGACTTTAGTAGTCCTCTAATTAAATGTTGCCCTTATATTTCCAATAGAGTCACAAGATGTCACTTGGAAAAAAAGTTGATATCTGCTACTACAAATTAGGGGTTACTCCGTACAGTCTGAATTGGTGCCTGTAGCCTTTGACACCCCAATGACACTGCTGGGGTGGATATACACCTCTAGCAGCAGAGGCGTTAAACTATGAAGTGTAAATCCACCTTCGTCAATGTTACTGGGTTGTCACTTGCAGCCAAAAAGGTGCTGACAGCTGCAGATTCATGCTTCAGCTTTGTATCGGACCACTAAACAGCATTGGAGCCCGGGACCCCAGCCCGTTAACTGGGAACCACTACAGAGAGTTATGATGGTTGGAGTATTCCTTTAATGCAAGCTTCAGACATGTTCCATTGACTTGTTTATGGTACACTATCCGAGGCATTTTTGGACCTCAAGTGGATGACATGTGTGTTCCTTTGAATATGTTTTGCATTAAATTGATCAAATAACATTTTTAATAAAATTCCTTTTTTTCCAATAAATTTCCAAAAGGCTTTCAGCATTCCTCACCTGGAGACATGTCTTCTTTGAGTGGTAAAGTGCAGACTGTATTGGGACCCATCCACCCTGATCAACTAGGATATACCTTGACCCATGAACATCTGACAATGACCTTTAATTGCTGTTATTGCTCTCCTCCTCCGCACCAGAAAGACTTATCCAATGAACCTATTGTGATGAGAAATTTGTTTTGGTTAAAGCAAAACCCATACAGTAATAGGGAGAATCTGCTGCTGAACCAAGAATGTGAGGCTATAAAAGAAGAATTGTTAAGTTTCAAGGAAGCGGGTGGTGGGAGCATTGTTGAAAACACAACTACAGGAATTAGTAGAGATGTAAAGGCTCTGAAGATAATGGCAGAGGAGACAGGGGTGAATATAATCTCCGGGGCTGGGTTCTATGTGGATGCGACTCATTCATCTGAAACAAGATCCATGTCTGTGGAACAGGTAAGACATTAATCATTTTGGACATCATTATATTAATGTACCGTTTTCTGATTAACATGGATTATGTCGGCATATTAATTGTGTATATTACAGTCATCAGTTACATCTGCAACTGACCAGTCTTGAGTATTAAAAAGTATACTTTTTGGTTGATAATGCTTATTTCTTTCTACTGTTAATTGTATACATGTATACAGAGGGGTACCTAGGTTACATGGTACCCGGGCGGAAATATATTTTAATACCCCTCTCCAAACTGTAAAAAGAAATGTGTCTCCCTCTGCGCCACCCCAGCTCCTTTTTGTTAGGGAAATTACAAAGTTTCAGACTTTCAGCTGTTTGCAATGAACAGATCATGCAAAAGCAATTGAAATAATTCAACACTACGAATGTTTCAAGTAGTTTCCCCAAATTCAACTGAAAATGCAACTTATAATGACTTTCTTTTCCAACCACTTCATGAAAGCATCTTTAGTACTGTGCTGAGCATCTTTTTGCTGTTATGACCTTCTGTAAATGAGATGCATAGCCCGGCATCAGCTTCTGGCAGCGTTCCAGAGTAAGCCGATTGCTCATGAGATTCCTGGGTTTGTGTGCTGCTACTTCCTTCTTCAAATCTCCAGATATTTTCTTCTGGGTACAAGTCAGGTGACTGTGATGGCCACTGTAGAATTCTCAAGGACTTCCTATGCAATCAAGCCTTGGTGGAATTTGAGGTATGCTTGGGATCATTTTCTTGTTGGAAGGTCCAATGATGCCCGAGCTTCAGCTTCCTCACAGGTGGCATGATGTGTTCTCCTAGGATTCCCTGATACTTCAATGAATCCATCTTGCCTTCCACATGCTGCAGTTTTCGAGTGCCAGAGAATGCAAAGCAGTCCCAGAGCATCACGAACCACCACCATGCTTAAGTGTAGGCGTAAGGTGTGCAAGTTTTTTTTTTCAGCGTATTCTTCTTCCTCTAGACATACTGCTGATCCATTGGGCCGATAATTCCAGTTTTGTTTCTACGCTCCACAGAACAGAATCCCAAAATGTCTGGCTTATTTATATGATTTTGAGCATATTGGAGCCAAAGTTTTAGTATGCACCTTCGTTTGGTCACTGAAACCTCAGTGCCTGTTGCCACCAAGTCCTGCTGCAGTTCTTTTGCAGTCACTCAAGTGGTTTTCATAACCTGCCTTCTCAGAAATCTGCCCTGTTCAGGTGGTGTAATCACTGTCCCTTCACCTTTAAACTTGCAAACTATGCTTCCAACAATGTCTCTAAGAACATTCAGTGCCTTCGCTATCGTTTTGCATCCTGTTCATTGTTTGCGAAGGGCGATAATCTCTTCTCTTAACTTTGTGGACCATTCTTTTAACTTGGCCATATTTCTAACATGCAGTCAAAGGTGACACTTAACAAACCCCTAGCTTGTTCAGGTATTTCAAGAGTTCCAACTCATGCACACTTGTTGCAACTAATGAAGCCATTGATTAGTTGCATAAGGTGTGTGTGAGACAACATCTGTTTTGCGTATTTGTGCTGTTGTGAGGTATTTTATTCAGGGGGTTAAATCATTTTGAGACTGGAGAAGTCATAAGATGCATTTTTAGCTGAATTTGGGGAAACCACATGAAGCATTTGTTGTGTTGCGCTGTTTCAATTTCTTTTGTCTGATTTGTTCATTGCAAACAGCTGAAAGTCTGTGAATTTTGACAATAAAGCTGATTTTCAATGGGGGTTGAATAATTTTGATTACAATTTAGACACATACACAAACAAACACGGACACACACAGACTCATACACACATTAATGTTTAAACAGACTCATTCATAAATACACAGGTGCACTCAGACTCTCACACACACACAGAAATGTTTTTACACACTCCTCATTCCATTAGTACAAATACTTATTTTTATTTTTATAAATAATACACTTTTTTTTTATATAAAAAATTACACAGCCCCCCTCCCCCCCTGCTCATACCGTGACAGGGTGAGCTGCAGTGGAACCTCATCCCTGGTATCCTATATACTCCTGCTGGGATCTCCCTTCACAGACTGCCCAGCTTCCAGCAACAGTACAGGGCATAGTTGCAGAGCAAGCACTTGACAAGCGAATGCAAAGAGGTGCCATTAGACACCCTCTTTCACCTTGAATGGCTGCTCCTATTAAAGGGATACCATAGTCACCAGAACAACGACAGTTTATTGTATTTGTTCTGGTGAGTATAATCTGTCTCTACAGCCTAGGGATAATTCCACTGGCCACTCCTCAGGTGGCTTCCTGGGGAAGTGCGGCACATTCAGTGTCTCAACACTCTGCATGGAGACACTCAACTTTCCTCATAGAGATGCATTTCTTCAGTGCATCTCTATGAGGAGATGCTGATTGACCAGGGCTGTGTTTAGCTTGTGCTGTCTCTGCCCCTGAGCTGCCTCCTGGAGTAAAGTTAAAATTTTATTATATTTAGGGGGGGAAAGGGGGTGGGAGAGGCAGGGGGGGCTAGATAGTGTTTTTAACACTATAGGTTCAGGAACACGTTTGTGATCCTGAAACTATAGTGTTCATTTAATATGCCACTGATTGAATATACTATTTTATGAACCATATCATGTTTTTTCTTAATGCAATCACTACTTTAGATTTATCTAGATCTATTATATTTTATCTCTTTTTAATAGAATCATTTTTTTGAAAAAAAAATTTGTGCATGGAATTACAACGGTGCTTGCATAGCCACAATAGCTTTCTTAAGCGCGGTTTTCAGGGTTTATAACAGAAACATGGCATGTAGACATCTTGCACATTTTTAAAGTGGAATATATCATGCTATACAGCTTGCACAGTTATAAAGTAGAGTATAACATGCTAGACAACTTGCACATTTTTAAAGTAGAGTGTATTCTGCTAGACAACTTGCATTTTTTTTTAAGGTAGAATGTAGCATGCCAGACTACTTGTACATTTTTAAAGTAGAATATAACTTGCTAGATAACTTGCACAATTTTAAAGTAGAATAGAACATGTTGATGTTGGGCAACTTGCCCGTTTTTAAGGTAGAGTATACCATGTTAGACAACTTGCACCTTTTTTTTTTTTTGGGCTTCGGTAATGTCCTTGTGAACTCCACTGATTTTAATGTTGGAGGCCTGCCTGGCGTCCTCAAGCGCAGCGAGGCGATGTTCATATTGCCGGGTCTGTTGTTCCAGGGCTTGTACCGTGTGTTGCAGTATGGTGACTTCCTGGGCCTGGGATTGTGAGGAGCCTTCCAGTTTGGAGATGCCGCCTGTCAGGCCTTTCAGGTCTGCGCAGAGCGCTGTGACTTCCTCGTGGAAGCTACGTTTCAGGTCCACCATTAACGCCTTCATGACCGCTATGGTGATCAGTTCTGCGTCTGCCCCTCTGCCACAGTGTTGTGCCTTTCGTGGTGGGTCCGGAGGCTGTAAATATCCCCCTTCCTCCGCATCAGATATGTCCTCGAAGAAGTCTGAGCACCCGCCGTGTTTGCTTCAGAGGCTCCACGTGCTTGCATCCACATCTCCCCTATCGTTAGCCCCGAGGTGGGCTTGTGTGGTACTGTTTTTTCCCCCTTTCTCCCCATTTGGTCTTGGGATGTTTGCTTGTAAGCAAGAGTAGTAAGGGGGGGAATTTCAATTGTTTTTCTCCGTTTGGGGCTCGGAGTTCTCTTTTCAATAGAAGAATTTTAAAACAAAAGTAGACAACATCTTAAAGAAATGTCATTCAAAAGTGTAAAATACGGTGTTGTTTATGTTTATAGGAATGGAATGGGTCAATGTGATTGGCTGGAATTACCCATCCATCATATACTTCTGCAGCTTGGATGCCGGGAGCATTAATCTGCTGTGTTAAGGCGACAAGAGCATTCTAACCAAGGCCGGACTGCGAAGAAAATTCGGCCCGGGCATTTTTTAATTACAGCGGCCTACTAAAAAGGGGGCGGGGCCATATAGGGTGTGTTTTGTCATCACCAATGACAAACACGCCCCATCAAAAAGTGAGCATGTTGATTCAATGCTCTTCCAGGGCATACCATGCGCAGAGCTCTGCTGAAGAGCTCTGACATGAGAAAAAGACCTTGAATTTAATAACATGCTTGCACTGTGTTTGCTTGAAATTTGTCTCTGGTGTCTCCATAGATGGGATACCAGGAGACAAAAATGCTGAGAAAGAGTATTGTGCAGTGTGTGTGTGAGTGTAAGGGGTGTAGTGTGTGTGCAAGAGGGGTGCAGTGTGTGTGAGGGGTGTAGTGTGTGCTGTGTGTGAGTCATAGGTGCTGTGTTTGCGTGAGGGTGCTATGTGGGTAAGGGTGCTGTGTGTGTAAGGGGTGCAGTGTGCATGTGCTGTGTTTGCGTGATGGGTGCTGTGTTTGCGTGAGGGTGCTATGTGCGTTTGAGGAAACTGTGTGTGAGGGTGCTGTGAGTGTCAGGGGTGTAGAGTGTGTGTGTGTGTGCGCGTAAGGGTGCTGTGAGTGTCAGCAGTGCTGTGTGTGTTAGGGTGATGTGTGTGTGTTAGGGTTGTAGTATGTGTGCAAGAGAAGTGTAGTGTGTGTGTGAGGGTGCTGTGTGGGTAAGGGTGCTGGGTGTGAGGGTTCCAGTGAGTGTGTGCTGTGTCTGAGTGCTGGGTGCTGTGTTTGAGTGAGGGTGCTATGTGCATGTGAGGGTGCAGTGTGTGTGTGTGTGTGTGTGTGAGAGTGAGGGTGCTGTGAGTGTCAAGGGAGCAGTGTGTGTGTGCGTGTGTGAGTGAGGGTGCTGTGAGTGTCAGGGGTGCAGTGTGGGTGTGTGAGTGACGGTGCTGTGAGTGCATTTTTTCTAAATGACTGGACCTCTTAATCAAATTCATTCAAACACAAACATTTAATCGCATTGTTACTGTTGCTCTATACCACTCTGGACATTGAGTGGATCACTTAAAAGCTGCCATGCAGTTTGCTGGAACCAGCACTTAAATTCCAGTTTATGAAGAGGATGTATTGGATGGGCAATAACTTTCCAAGTATTGGTAGCAGGTATGCTGGTACTGTGCTTTGTGAGTAGTTTTCTAAATAAATATACTTGTTCGCTAGCCATCATCCATCATGCATAAATAATGAAATCAGCAACTATAGCTTTATTTCAATGTCCCTCAAAAATACCATGGATTTAATTTTAAAAATGTATATTGCTTTCGTTGGGAAGACTATATTATTGTACTTATAATATAAAATGTGGAAGTAATGAGGAAAACGTGTTGCAAGTTGTTGCTGTGTGTGTGTGTGTGAGAGTGAGGGTGCTGTGAGTGATTATATTCCCCCCTCCCCTCCATCCAGAGATCACTCTTGTGAGACCCGGACCAGCAACGGTCCGGATCTCGTGAGAGAAACCCGGCGGAGCTGTAAGTTAAAGCTCCTCCCGGTTCCTCTGCTGGCAGGCTGTCTCCCTCCCTCTCTCCCCCGCCGGCGGCCAGGAATATACTACATGTGGGCCGGTGAGGGAGATCTTTGATCTCCACACCGGCCCACCATGGAACACAGCAGGGCCGGCGCTCGGATAGCTCCTGTAACCTTCCCTGCCGGCCTCGGCCCATAGCCACCGCAGCCCACCGGGCATTTGCCCGGTGTACCTGATGGCCAGTCTGGGCCTGATTCTAACACAGCAATTAGATTAGAAGTATAGTTAAGTTTTCCTTTCTTTTTTCAATAATTGTATTTAGTTCAGGTTTTTACATTTTATATGTATATATTTTATTTTAAAGAATACTTATTGCAATGTTTGATAGGCGTTAAGTTAAATTTATGTTTCTAAAGGGGGAGAATATGGAAGGCAACTTATGACAGCTCTAAGCCATAAATATTTGTTTATTAAATCCATTTTTGCATTGGTGATCCAGCAAAAGTATTTCTGTCTTTTCGTCAGTTGACCAAGGTTCTTGTTAAAGAAGTCCTTGAAGGAGCAGATGGTACAGATATAAAATGTGGAATAATCGGAGAGATTGGATGTTCCTGGCCTTTAACCGAGAGCGAAAGGAAAATTTTGCAGTCAACTGCCGAAGCTCAGTCACAACTTGGTTGTCCCGTCAATATTCATCCGGGTAGAAATAGTGACGCTCCATTCCAGATTTTGAGAATTCTGCAGGAGGCTGGAGGAGATATCTCTAAAACAGTAATGTCTCATCTTGATAGGTAAGCAATCCAGCCATTCTAGAGAGGATTCATTTATGATGTAGAACCTTCATCAAGTATGTTACGCCAGGACTCCCAACCGTCCCAATTTTAGCAGGACGGTCCTGATTTTTGGTCCTGTCCCTCCGTCCTGACTTTTGGGGAACTGTACCCAACAATCATAGCACAAGCTTATTATCATCTATGTTACTGTTAGATGCGCTCTCTCTATGTTCAGGGCACTAGGATCCTGTAGATAATAGTGCCATTGTCACTGGTCCACCCCTTTAAACCCTGATTCTTGGGAAGCCAGAGTTGGGAGCTATGTTACCCCACAAAGCCTTAATATAATACTCAGGAATGTATTTTAGTACATTAAGTTGTGAATTCTACAGGCAGTTAAAGTCATTTGCCCACAAGCATACCTGCAAACATTTCACATGGCTACATTGAGGACACTTGTTCTAGGAGACATGATGTATGCACTTACAAAAATAGGCAATGGAGTTGTGACATTTATGTCTTTTCTAATGAAAGAATATGCCACTCACTGATTTTCTATGTATTTAAATAAGTCTAAATATATATGTATCTCTACATATTTGCGACAAATTATTATATACTTGTCTTCCTCTATTTGTATAATTCCTTGTGCATTACACATATTTCTATTTACTTATCAATATAAAGTTTTTTTGATTAAGGTAATTGCCTTTTGAATCTTTAAAAATAATGTAATATTATGTGATATATTTATAGAAATTGACTTTTAAATATGTGTTTGACTTTCTGTTTTTTTAAACTGGTTTTATTTTATATTCTGTTTCCAAACCATATTTTATTCGTTTCTCGTTTTCACCGCGCACTTTTTGCCTTTTATCAAATACATAATCTAAAGGCATTTTCTTGACAATCTATCTTCAATTAAATATGTTATTACATCAAGTCGGTTAAGACAACAAAGAACTCCTTAATCCCCTTTTAATAGGAATGGCTTAATGTCAACATTTAAGTAATAAAGCTACTGCCGTTCATTATTACAGGACTATATTTGATGAGAAAAAACTGCTAGAGTTTGCTGAACTTGGATCGTACTTGGAGTTTGATTTGTTTGGCACAGAAATGCTGAACTACCAGTTTAATGAAGCAGTCGACATGCCCAGTGACAACGAAAGGATCAAAACGTATGTATGGCTATTTAAATATAACAATATAAAGTGTTTTTTTAAGTGGAAATCTTTCTTAAAACTCTAGTATTTACTTTATTTACATGTTGATGTTTCCCCATAAACAGCATCACTTCCAGTTCCGCATTATAAGTAATTTCATTCTTTTCTTTTTTCCCTTCCTTCTAAACTTCCTTCTTTCCTTTCTTATGCTTCCTCTCTTTACCACACTTCCTTCCAAATTTCCTTATGACATCACCTGCGTGGTATCCCGTAATGTAATTGGGAGGTGGATAAGGATACAAAGGAATTAACCTTAAACCACCTCACTACCATTCATTTTTTCTTTGAAAAAAAAACTATTACCAATAAAAAATATTTATTTATTTGAAACATATAAATAAATAGATAATAGATAATTTAAATGTTTTAATTGTACACACTTTTTTATTTTTTATGTATTCATTCATCCTGAACAGCTTTAGACAGTATACAGTTGCTCTCATCTTGCAATGTTTTACAAAGGGTCTAAAATAGGTGTGACAAAAAAAGATTAAAATTTAGCCGCCCTCCACATTAAAATGTTTGTTTTTTTTAATTCAAAAAGTATATGGGACCAATATAGGGTCCTGGGTTCTCGCTGTGGTGGTCCCACCCTTGAACTTCAGCTTATGTATTTTTAAAAAGAAGAAATAAAAGTACTGCAATTTTGTTTGTTTTGGAGGGTGATGCAGTGTCCATTTGGTGTTCCCCTTGTGGAGTCTAACCGACATGTACATTTGGATGTTTCAAAAGCGGTGGGACCTCACACCATTAGTTCCCGTGAAAAATTAGACCGTGGCCGTTATATATATTGTTATATTTGAACTGCATATACTTAAAGTGCATATTTAGTTATTCAGCTTCAAGTATTTTATTGTTTTTCTGTTTTTTTTTTTAATATGACCCCCATATTAGCTTAAGAGATTTATAAAACAACCCTTATACCACCATGCTGCAGGTGAGGGTGTAGTTAATAAACTGTAATTAAAAACTAGTAAATTAGCAGTTATTTCCACTTATGGGCATCATGTGGGGGCTTAAAATAAAAAAATGGTAAAGTCTTAAAACCTGTAAAAAGAAAAAATATATATCTAAAAAGACATCAGATGGGTTTTTGCATGGGTTTTATTGTTTTAAACCTTCTTTTGGTCTGCCTCACAAAAGGTCAAAGGAAAGGCCATAATAACCCAACGGCACTATAAAAAAAAAAAAAAAAACGAACAGGGGAAAAAAATGCACTGACAATTTTTTTTTTAAGGATTCTGACACTTTGAAATTTCAGTAGAGCACATTGATTGGTCGGTCTTTAAGGCCTAAAAGCCAACCAATCAGAGTGCTCTGACAGGAAAGATTAAACTGAGACTTGCAGTTTGTGACTTGCCTGTCAGAGAACTCTGCTTACAAGCCAACCAATCAGAGCAAAATACTGACATTTGGGGACCACTGGCCATCTGGACTGATAAATGTAGACCTAAATTTTGGGTTTGTTGAGGGATGGACATTGACAAGTCCACCCCCTATTGTTAAATTGCTATTAATATCCCTCCATTTAAGCTCATGGGTAAAGGGGTATAATCCAGCACTAATAGATAGGACCTGGAGGGACAGTCTGAGGTCCCCCTTCCCCCGTTATTATAGTAGTATTCTAATTAGCCTCTCCTGGGTTGAGACTGCCTTACTTTAGAGTGTCCATCCCTTTTTTTCTTTTCTTTTTTTTTTAATAGAACATCCACCGGCAGGGATTTGGCCAGGTAAATGTTAAGCCCCACCCAATGCCCATTAGTGAAGGCATGGGAGGAACCTTTTGAGTAGACATGCCCACCACCTACAGCATGGCAGGTGCGCCATAAGGGAGATTTTACACCTCTCGTGTTAATATAGGGGTTACTTTGTCACTACTATACAGAGGATTGTATGTTGCTGCCACACAGTACTATGCTAAACGATATTGTGTAACTGTATTATTTCATCATTATTGTAGTCTAGTACTTGCAGTATTGGTATAAAACTTTCAATAACAATTAGCAAAAGATGTGGAGTTAGCTGCTTTGGTCTCAGATTGTGCGATTTAATTGCAATTGCAATGCTGATCCACTGGAATCACGTTTGGATTTTAGAAACTCAAAACAATATAAAATATAGAATAAATGTACAGGAGCACATACTGGCCTTGTTCATACTACAAAGGGTTAAGCTGCATTATGATACAGTTAGGGGTTTTCCATTCAGTGTAGACGAAGTATACTGGTAAGTAATGTATTTTTACCTGTCGACCTACGGGGTTAAAACATTTCCAAGGTTATTTGTGAAGAACTTTTTTTTTCTTTTTGTCTTATGCTGATCACATTCTCTCTCTCAGTGGGCCATAGTCTATTAGTTTTTATTCTATAAATTTCCCAATAGATCGTAATAGACAGTCAAAAGGTAGAACAAAAATAAACAACAATTTTATCGTTTTCATAGGTAATAGAATATGATGACCCTGTGCCTCAGGAAGCAAAACAATTATATTAAGGTCTGCGGAGTCAGGACTAATGCTGCTTGAAAAACTCAGCACAATGTACAGAAACCACTAACTACTGTTTTATAAATACAAAACCAAAATTAAGTTGTAGGAGTGATAGTTGGAGGTATAGCTGTGTCAGCTTAAAATTCCACCATTTTTAAAACATTATGGAGATTGTTCGATAATAAATATTTACATAATATATCTAATATATACAAAATATTATTATTATCACACATTTTAAAAAAACATGCTTAAATATTCTCTCATTTCTTGCAATTCTGGAGCTACTCTAAGGATCAGTCAGTCCTGGTTCAGTGGGAGGGCTATGCATTTACAATAAACTATTGCCAAAGAGGCATTTATAGGATGAATCGTTCATAATCCTTACTAGTTTAATTCTTGAAAAGACACAAAGAAACTGACAAATTTATGGAAGCTCAGTGCGATTCATGTTTGACTGCTGTGTAGGTTCTCTCATGAAAAGCCATGAGGTTGCCTGTACTAATCACTTGGGGGCTTTACTTTGCACATGCGTCACATGTGTTGTTCAAGAAGTCAAATTAACTAATAGCAAACTACCTGAACCTGTGATATCACATAGTTCGGAAGTGTGAGTTTTATAAGCTGGCACGATTTTTGTTCATTGCTGTAGCCATAATGAATAGGATAAATGGAGAATTTTGCAGAATCTGGATTCAATATTCAAAATTAAATGTTTTTCCCGTTGTAGATTCTGCAGCTAGATGCATTTTCAGCCTGACCGAAGAAGTACAGTTCTGTAAAAATACCCCACACACAGAGCTGGAGAAGATTTAGTCAGCTATGAAAGCCTTTGAGTGGTACTGGCTGTAGATTGAAATTGGACATGTATATACATTGTATTCAACACATTTCTTTCCTAAAGGGGTTAGTCATGAAACGTTCATGGTCTTTGAGGCTGCTAGTGTTCCCAACAGTTGAGAGAGGCGAGCGGCAAGATGAAGTGTAACTGTTCAGTTTTCTTAACAATTAATTTGGGCCGATTGCCATTCAGATTGTGTGAATGTACTCCTTTCTTTTGAATGGACATTCAAAGCACCACAACAACTTGTGTTCATTGTATAGGATATAGTGAACAGAGGATCCCTGTCCATATCTATCTTCTGGCTTCAAACTGTGGCAGTTTTAATTCACCGAAGCTCTAGGCCCACCTCTTCACTTAAATAGTCACAACACTGGGAATCTTGTATATCAGAAATATATATATTTTTTTTAAAGAACACAATAAGCAAACTTTGCCCAAAAAATAAACGGGCATAAACTCTTCCGCTAAAATGATTAAAAGGACACTCCAGACCCCTAAAGCACTATAGCTTGCTGCACAGCTTTATGTGTGAAGTGTGCCCTATTATTTTATTTCTGAAAAAAGTGCAGATTTCAATAGAAATTCACAGTTTCATAAATTAACCTGGGTACATCCCCTAGGTAGTTGATGAAACAGCAGGTCCTGTTACTTCCTGGTTTGGTTAGCTCATTGGAACTAAACTCAAGAGGTAACACTTGCCCAGAGCACCTGCCTTGCAAAAACTTTGTATTGAGCTGCATTGGGAAGTCTGTGATTGGACAGACACAAAGTCTGGGCGGGGTTAGAAGGGCAGTGCTTACAAAGGCAGCAGACAAGAGAACTGCAGGTTTTGCAAGTTACATAGAAACATAGAATGTGATGGCAGATAAGAACCATTCGGTCCATCTAGTCTGCCCAATATTTCAAAATACTTTTAATTAGTCCCTGGCCTTATCTTAACTCTAGGATAGCCTTATGCCTATCCCACGCATGCTTAAACTCCTTTACTGTGTTAACCTCTACCACTTCAGCTGGAAGGCTATTCCATGCATCCACTACCCTCTCAGTAAAGTAATACTTCCTGAAATTACTTTTAAACCTTTGTCCCTCTAATTTAAGACTATGTCCTCTTGTAGAGGTAATTATCTTTCTTTTAAATATAGTCTCCTCCTTTACTGTGTTGATTCCCTTTATATATTTAAATGTTTCTATCATATCCCCCCGTCTCGTCTTTCCTCCAAGCTACACATGTTAAGATCCTTTAACCTTTCCTGGTAAGATTTATCTTGCAATCCATGAACCAGTTTAGTAGCCCTTCTCTGAACTGAAGTATCAATATCCTTCTGAAGATATGGTCTCCAGTACTGCGTACAATACTCCAAATGAGGTCTCACCAGTGTTCTGTACAATGGCATGAGCACTTCCCTCTTTCTACTGCTAATACCTCTCCCTATACAACCAAGCATTCTGCTAGCATTTCCTCTATTACATTGTCTTCCTACCTTTAAGTCATCTGAAATAATTACTCCTAAATCCCTTTCCTCCTGCCCTTGGGTTTTTACATCCAAGATGCATTATCTTGGACTTATCCACATTAAATGTCAGTTGCCACAGCTCTGACCATTATTCAAATTTTTCTAAATAATTTAATATTTGGCTTATCCCTCCTGGAACATCAACCCTGTTGCAAATTTTAGTATCATCTGCAAAAAGACATACCTTACCATCAAGACCTTCTGCAATATTACTAATAAAAATATTAAAGAGAATGGGTCCAAGTACAGATCCTTGAGGTACCCCACTGGTAACTAGACCTTGCTTCGAATATACCCCGTTGACTACAACCCTCTGTTGCCTATCATTTAGCCACTGCTTTACCCATTCAACAATATTGGAATCCAAACTTAAAGATTGCAGTTTATTGATGAGCCTTCTATGTGGAACAGTGTCAGAATCACAGACTATTGCACACGTTATATGGATTGTCCTTTTTGGCCAGGAGGTCCAGGATCACTGTTTAGTAGATATATCTAAAACCAACTGGAGTTTTAATTTGGGGTATATCTACTAAACAGTGATTTTTATTTATTTTGTATTTGCATTAATGTCACCCTGTCTCTGATTGGCTACTTTACAGTTTTGTGACTGAGCTGACGTGGCAGCCACACACAAGTATTGTGATATCTCTAGATCACATTTTTCGTGAAGGTATAAGAGTCAAGTATAGATTTCTGTATGCTTAAATAAATTTAACCACCAGGGGGGCAGCTGAGCGCTAGGTTTTCCGAATTGGCCTCACATGCAAGCTCAGGCATTGTAACGCTTCATAATTGCTTTCTATGGGGAGCTACAGAGGGAGAGTCAGCTGCAATATACACATAGCGTTTGTTAAAGATAAGGTGTTTTGTCCTTGCTGTGTTCAGGTCCCTTGCGATTCGTTTGCCAGGGATGTGGTTAGTCTCTGGTATCTGCTAGTGGCAGCCTCAAGTATATGAGAGAGGAAGTTTGTGACTCGATTCTGTTGCACTTCTGTGCTTATTCACGGTTAGAGTCCCGATTGAGTTCCCTCAGTTCCACTGCCGGTGACCATGTGAGACGTTGCCTCAGGTATTGCAGGTGTGAGCCTTGCTTACATGCTGAACGTTTCCTCCTTAGAGTTGTCTGGTGTGCGGCAAGAGTGTGTGTGTGTCTGCGGGCTGCTTGTTCTCCCGCTGGTGATGGATGCGGCAGCCATTTAGTTTTTTGCCATGCGGTCCCTAGTTGCTCAGTTTGTCGCTCAGGTTTCATAGGTGGTCGCTGCTTCCCCGGTGGGGTCCGGGATAACCCCCCGGCCCACGAGGGGGGGGTGAATTGGGCCCTCGCTAAGAGTGTGGGAGGTCCCGCCGGACTAAGCACGGGAGGCCGGCCGCATCTCCCGCCAGAGCCTCACGACAGGCCGCAATCCCAGCCGTCCAGCAATCCTCCTCGCCGGCAGGACGGGGGTTGGTATTCACTCTGAAAGTTGTGTTCAGGTTCCCCCTCGCCTTCTCATAGCTGCGGTACGGTTATTTAGGAGAACTAAGGTTGTTTTGAGCTGGATATTGGGGATTCATAGAGGAGCTCAGGTGCCCCACGTCCAGCCAGCTCGGCGGTCAGGCCCCGCCCCCCACTTTGTCCGAATTTGAGCCGAATGAGTGATCATTCACATCCGGGACCTCCTGGCCAAAAAGGACAATCCATATAACTTGTACAATGGTCCGTGATTCTGATTCGCGTCTGTGGTTCTAAAAAAGAGATGATTGATGGCTAGGGGACAGTCACTAAATGTTGATTTTGTTTATAGATCAAGTGAGAAGTGAGCAATAGGGGAAAAATAAGGAAGGACAGTAAAAAATAAATATATATATTTTATTTTTTACAGTTCCTCCTGTTTTTCCCCCTATATGTCACTTTTTCTCACTTGGTTAACCAAATGGCGGGAGAATGCTCCTGTCAATGTACTTCAAAATAGATATGTAATTTTATAGTACGTATGTATTTTGCAGTACACTGATTGGTCCATTTGCGTGCCCTTTTGGTTCATCTGATTCATTTTCCAGAATCGTTTTTTTTTATTACTAAATTTCTGCAAAGTCAAACTGCCATATGAACAAAATTAGGTCGTCCGTGAAAAAAGTAATTTTTGGAATGAATTGTTCGGCAGAAGCAGATTTTCTTACTAGGCACTAGTCTAGCTGATAGTCGCAGTGTTTGTGAAATAGTTGTACCACTGTGCATTGATTGAAAATAATGAATAGTTAGGATTGAATGGCCAGTGACCGTTTTCAAGGTATTGCAACAAATACAACAAATGTCAGTATCGTTTCTGTTTTGTTTGATTTTTTTTTTTTTTATATGTTTTAAGTATCTACAAAATATTTTACAAAGGCAGCCTAATGTTCTGTTAAACTGACAGCTGAACGACAAGTAGCATACCCCCCTGCTGTGCTCTCAACCCCCTGATGTGCAGGCTTTATGGTGTATGCTCAGGACTCCTGTAGAAATCTATATAAACACGGCTGGCTGTGCCATATTCTTGGTTATTTGCAGCACATGTAGGGACATAAAAAGTGAGTTTATTTTTATTGCTTATTATTACAACTAATATTTTTAATGCATTACCTATATAATGCTTGGAGTGAGCCTTAGTCTAATTTTTTTTTTGGTCGTCTTATTCCGTATCTTTACAATAGAGTAGATCTCTGGAATCTGAAAAGGGTAACAGTAATGCTATTTACGGGACATTACGGGACATGTTTGAGGAGACAGGACTCGAACTTCTTGAAATTGTTACTGAATATAGCATGTGATCATGTCTCTTGAACATATTTTAGATTCTGTTCTAAATTTCCAGTGTCTTTTAGACCACTGTCCCCATATACTTGTTATTACTGTGTGATGTAAAATAAATGATTCAGTTAGAAATTAGGTATCGTAAATTCCTGGATTCATGTCAAACCCACAGTGAAATGAGGTCAATAATGTTGACTTACTATTCTGCTTCATGGCAATCAATAGTATCATTTATTGTGTTAATTAACATGATTAATGGTAAAGATTCTTTCGGAATTCTATAAATGTTTGCTTCTGTAGTTTCGGCCTGTCCACATCTCACTGTCTCTTAGCTATTTATAATTTTATTTTTTAAAACCTAAACCAAACATCCGGATAAAGTTGACATTATTCAGATAATGGATTTGGATAATTTATATGATACAGCACTTGGTATCCTTAAAGGGACACTGCGTTTTTTATCCACTGGAAACAAATTTATTTATTTTTAAGTCCTTAAAAACTAAGGTAGATGTCCAACTTTAGAGCCAAAAAACCTAGCATCCGTGCTGTGTGTTTGTTCAACAATAATGTTCCTTTTTAATTGCACTGAGAATTGTATATACAATTATGAAGGACAGATTGGGATTTAAAGGGACATTCCACTGCTCAAATAAAAAAAACTAAATCACTGTTTAGTAGATATACCTCCAATGAAAACCTGCATGCATTTAATTAGGTATTTTTTCATTGCGGGTATAGCTAAAGACAGCTTGAAAAGGCTACAGATGTCTTGTTTTCAGCCTTTGCAAGCTTTACCCTTCTTCCTTAGTCCAGACCTTCTGTGGCTGTCCAATTATAGACTCCTCAATGCAGCTCAGTGAGAAGTGTTTGCAAGGCAGGTACTGTGAGCAAAGCAACCAGGAAGTAACAGGGCTGGTTATCTGATTGACAGCTAAGAGGGTGTAACAAGGTTAATTTGTAAAAGTTTACATTTTATATTAAAATCTGCACTTTTTCTACAATGAAAAAGAGGACATACTCTTTACAAATAAAACATTTCAGCAAGCTTGGTGTTTGGAGTGTACTATTAAACTTTATATCACCGACCTCTATCATATAATCAGAACAGGAACATCCAGAGTATTTCTTAAAATGGATGAACTTTTATTGTAACCAGTAGGCGTATTAAAAACAAAAAATAAATGATGAATAGAATAATATGCACGACCGACATATAAAGCAAAAATAAACTATAGCTATACGCAGTCTACACGTTTAGTTTTAGAAGTTTTTCAACACATCTCAGAGAGGTCCTGCAAGACTGCATATAGCTATCATTCATTTTTGCTCTGGATCACTGCCGTGCATGTTATTCTATTTGTGGTTTATTATTTTTTGTTTTTAATACCCCAAGGGGTTACAATAAAAGTTCATAGATTAAAAAAAAAACTCTTCATGTTTCTGTTCTGATTATATGATTGTGGATTCCAGGATTGACTTACCTTTATGAACACCACAGACATGAGTACCTCTATATAATTACACCGAATTGCTATACTGTTTCCATGTCCACAGCCGTTAGTACAGCTCAGTTTTAGGCAGCTATCTGGTGGGATGCACTCTGATTTGTAAGGTTATCACTGACCTCTGCTGTATATACTAGTTAGATTTAAAAAAAAAAAAAATAGTTTTTACCTTATTTAATTTTCATGGGAAATGTCAGACTGCTTGCATCCCATAACTCTAAAGGAAGCATATTAGTATTCCACTACTGCCCTTAAAGTACAGTAGTAATCCATATGTATTCCTTGGTCAAGTGTTTGAGGGCTGTAAGGAGTCAAATATCAGACATGCTCTAATTTTAACTTGCCTCTCTGTACTGTTCCCAGTGATGCTGTTTGTTGAAGTGACTCTATCTCTGATACTATACTGACCATCAACACAATTTGATGCTAAGTTCTTGATTTCAGCTAATCCTAACTCTAACTAATGCTAACCTTAGGTAGTCCTTACCCTAACAAGCTCAACACCAACCATAATACCAATACCATGCTTAATACCAAACCAAATCCTAACCTTACTCGAATCCTAACATGAAACCAACCTTACATCATAATAAACTGTACAGCAACTCTAACCCTAACCCACCACCAATCCTAACAATACACCAACACTAACCCTAATGTTAACATTAATGCTCAAACCCTAACGCTAATGCGATCCTACACCAGGGTTGGTGTAGGATTGCATTAGCGTTAGGGTTTGAGCATTAATGTTAACATTAGCCCTACAACAGCTCTTACCCTAATGCAGAGAGATTCCTTCAATTCAGATGATGTCAATTCAGGAATTCCTCTGTTTACACACAACAGAATGCTATGTGCATTGTACTATGTAAACGTTCCATTGGAGATCTCCCTCTTATGCTACAGATTCAGTTGTCTTGTCAATTATACAGTGATTGGTGCTGGGTAGCATGCTCCGCACTTATCACTTTCAGCAAGGAGACATACAGGGACTCTCCCTCTTTCCAAGAGAATCACCAGGACTGAATACGGTCAGTTGGAGAACTGCACACAGCTCTTCAGTTAATGTGGGTCTACTAAATATGGCTAGAGCTGAGTACTCCAAGTATTGTTACCTAAATCTCCCCAGTGAGGGGCAAGTATGTAATCCTGCTTGCACCTAAATGGCAGGATGCTCCATGCTGTCCTAATGGACTTTAAAGCCTAGTATTTCTAGGACCACATAGAACATTGCAAGGGTGGTAAGGGCTTATATCAACCCATGAGTGTTCCAATTAATAAAATTACAGGAGCACATTCTGGTCTTGACCAGGATGTGATTTGCATGAAAAAGTTAAAATTCATCATGCAGCAGTTATTGTTTTTTCCACTTGGTATAAACAATGTACAGTGACAAAATATTTTTTTTAATGTAATATCATATTTCCCAAATAGAAATGTGATGTCTCCAGTGTGCTGTGCCGGCTGGTTACTGCTATCTTACCAGTCCGAACCATCCAAGCACTATCAAAACGTGTTGAATTGGTAGTTTGTTGGACTTAATAAGAGATTTATTTATTTTCTCGGTCTTATTTTAACAAAAGGTCCTAGAGCTTCTTCTTCTTCCCTATGTACCCTTTGATAATGTATCCCTGCCTGAATAAGTTTAACCATCCCAGTATTCAGGGATATGTGTCATCAGGTCAGTGGAGGGCTGGCAACATTTGGCTGTGGGAACCAGGCTTAAATCAATGGACTTTTTATGGATATTAAACTCACAAATCCCAGTATAGATGGTCACATAGAGCAAGCAATATAAATAGGTTTAAGAGATGGAGGTTGCTGAAGTTGTGAGGTGTAACATCATTTATCCACATCCATCACTGTGACCCGCACACAGAAACCTGTACAGTACAAACTGTTTGGTGTGACTCCATTGTCATTTAACATGTGTTAAGAATGTCATGAGCACTGTCTCATATCACCATGTGGTCACTAGTAAACACTTCTTTGGACATCTTACACACTCATCATAATGGCAACCTGGCTAACACCAGATACGTCATTCCACTAGAAAATATTCCAGTGGGCCAGTCTAGGCTTGGCGATTGGTGGAATTGCAAGGCCACTAGCACATTTATAAATCCACATATTGCTGGGCCAATAAAGGCCCATCACAATTCCTGTCTTCTGCTTCACTCCAAAACAACCCCTGCTGTTTAATCTGCAGAGGCATAGTATGAAGCGGAAGTCACAAATCATATTAATCTAGAGCAAGTATGTCAAACTCAAAGGCTAACACGGGCCAAATAAACAAGGTTTAAGTTTAGGTATAAACTTCAGCTTTCATAGAAACGTAGGTTTATTTAGAAAAGTACAGTATAAAAAAAGTTGCCTAACTGACGTCATTACGCTCGTAGGACTTCAAAGTAAATAAAAGAGCGGATTTATTTTAAGCAGACGTGCATTTTCATATAACCAATGTTTCAGTCCAACTATTATTATTATTATTTTATTTTATTAATTATATAGTGCCAGCAAATTCCGTAGCGCTGTACAATTATTATTATTATTACTGGTATTTATATAGCGCCAGCATATTCCGTGGCGTTTTACAATATTATGAAAGGGGGAGATTTAGCAATAAATGAGACAATTACAAAACTACCTTGCCATATTAAGAAACGTTTGGTAATGTGACTGAAATGGTGAATGTATGCTGTTGCACAGCTGTAAAAAACAAATGATGTTATCTTGTTGTTTTTGAAGTCCTATGAGTGTGTTCTTCACTTTGGCTGAAATCATCAAACCTTATGATCTCAGCCAATCTAATACTTTCCCATAGGCTATTGTGCATGTGGGGCAAAAAGCTGCATGGCCAATCAGCATCTCCATGGGGAGCGTTTAGCTCCTCCATGCAGACCCAATCTAATACACTGCCCCTTCCCCCATTTCAATACACTGCCCACAAATCCAATACATTGCCCCCAGATCCAATACACTGTCCCCCCTCCACTCTAATACACTGCCCTTCCACCCAATATAATACACTGTCTCTCATTCCTCCACTCTAATTGAATACACTACCCCCCCTCCAATTTAATACGCTGCACCCTCCCTCCACCAATTTAATACACTGCCCTCTCCCCAAATTAACATACTGCCCTCCCTCCACTCTAATTTACTGCCCCACTCCCTACCCCAAAATAATACACTGCCCCCTCCCTCCCCAAATTAAAACACTGCCCTTACAGCATCCCCTCCCCCACTCTAATACACAGTCCCACTCCCACAATTTAATACACTGGCCCCCTCCCTCAAATTAATACACTGGCCACCTCCCCAATTTAATACACTGGCCCCCTCCCTCCCTCAAATTAATACTTTGGCCCCCTGCCTCCCTCAAATTAATACACTGCCCCCCTCCCTCCTTAAATTAATATGCTGGCCCCCTTCTTCCCCAAATTAATACACTGTCCCCTTCCTTCCCTCAAATTAATACACTGGCCCTCTCCCTCACCAAATTAATACACTGGCCCCCTCCTTCCCCCAATTTAATACACTGGTCTCTTCCCAATTTAACACACTGCCCCCCTCCCACCACTCTAATACACTGCCCCACTCCCTCCCCTAAATGAATACACTGGTTCCCCTCCCCAGTTTAATACTCTGGCCCCCTCCCTCCCTCAAATTAATACGCTGGCCCCCTCATTTATTCAAATTAATACACTTCCCCCCTCCCTCCCCAAATTAATACACTGGCCCCCACCTTTCCCCAAATTAATACACTGCGCCCTGTCTCCCTCAAATTAAAACATTGCCCCCTCTCCCCCAAATTAATACACCCTCCTCCCCTCCCCCCTATTTAATACACTGCACTCCCTCCTCAATTTAACACATTACACAGGAAGGTCCGCCAAGCCCCTCTTCTCCTACCTTAAGATGAGCCATCCGTCCTCCATTTCCAGCCCTGCTCTTCTCTGTTCAAGCAGGCCAAAAACTCCTTTCACACTGCGAGCAGGAGGGAAGGGCAGTGGCTGGCCTGCTCTGCAGACAGACAAATACTCTGCGCTCTTGTGGCCATGGAAGGGAAGACAAGAATCAGACACAACACAAAGCAGCCCCAGGGCAGGCGGGCCGCAAATATATTCACTGTGGGCCGCAAGTTTGACATTCTTGTTCTAGAAGATTGGGGGAAATTACCCCAGTGCTCCCCTTGCCAACTCTCCCATGCAACAAGTTTTCTTTTACTTTGGATGAGTTTTGCAAGCTCTGAGAAAAAAGGCATTCTTTTTGTATCAGGTCTACATATCTATTCTGTAATGTATTTGTTATTATGGTTTACCCTAATTATTGCTCTGTTTTGCAGGCTCCGTCTCTTAGTTAATGAAGGTCATGAAGACAGAATTGTTATCGCACATGACATCCACACCAAGAACAGACTGACTAAATATGGCGGTCATGGTTACTCACACATACTGCTGAACATCGTTCCAAAGATGTTGCTCAGAGGAATATCCCAAAAAAGCATCGACAAGATATTACTGGAAAATCCCAAAAGGTGGCTGACATTTAAATAAGAGACCCATCCAGTTCTAAAAATAAGCATGTACAAATAATGATATGGGTAAATCTCGACAGCTATTTCCTCTTAGAATGTTTAGACATGCTGTTTACTGATCTTTAACCAAATAACGAAAACCGTGTTTTATTATAGAAATAAACACTTCAACAATCGTCTTTAAAAACGATTAATTCAATTCCTACAGGCGGCTATGATCAAGGGTACATCGAGGCAAGTAATAATAATAATGCACAACTTGTAGAAAAGCAAAGTGATTGCAATTAAATGACTCCCCTCTGGAACAATTTGATGTTCCTTGTAATATTGATGATGCTTGTAATTATCCTGCTGTTCTTTAATTAATGTTTGATACGGAACATAGCAATTTAAATTACTTTCCGGCAAAAGGTTTGGATTTTGCCTTTGAAATATTATTTTTCTTTTTAATTTAGGACATCCTTTGTGTTTTTAGTTACAGTTTGCATCCACCACCTTTTAATACAAATGTATTGTTCTGTTACTTTTTTGTTAATATACATTGAGGTGGTTGTACAAATATGTGGGATATTCTGTGAAAACTGAATTGAAAACTGAATGGCAAATTATAGGCAAAAATAGCTGATTTGGAGAAATTTTCAGTCACAGCTCGAACATTTTATCCTTCTTTTAGCCATTAATATTTCAATTCTTTACATTTAAAAGTTTAGTAAACAAACCACAGAATTCTATACTAAAGTATGATTTGGCAGAATATTTCAGATTTTACAGAAAATTTGCCAAATTGGAAAAATCCTCATTTGTGTTTTCAGTTGGACGTTTTTGGGTTAAAATTTGAAACTCTTTGAAATCACTTTGAATCGATTCACACTTCATTGAATAGCCCTGAAAGTTTAATCCTCTTGAAATAACCTGCCTTATCTAATTTTCTGAACACACTCAATTTTTGTATGAAAATAAAGTAGTTACCTGGATGTACTATAACTCTCTTGTATGTTTTCAGGGTTAAACATGTTTTTTTTTTTTTTGTGGGGGGCAGGGTAGGGTTGATAATTATAATTAAAATTTTAGAAGCATTTTAAATAATGTTTACTTTTTCTCACATTCTAATTGATTATAGAGTTAATTTATACAAATATACCTAAAGGCACTCTACTACAAAACATGTCTACAAGCATATAGTCTAATAAATCTTTTTATACCTTATGTAAATTGCCATTCTAATAATTCGATAACTGATTTCATCCTGCTGTGTACTTCTCATCCGCTGTCACTGCCCAATTGTATTTACGGTGTTCACAGACCCTTGATACGATCGCACAACATTTCTTTAATACACTCTTAGAATTTCACCATGAGACACTTGCTCCAGTGCCAACATACAAATTTCATTCTGCTGGTCCTTGTTTTGGCTACAGGGCTGATAGTTTGTGATAATGAAGCATTATATAGTGTAAAAACAGGATTATGTCAAAACATGGTTACATAGAATATATCTAATGTTTATCCTTTATGATAAATGTCTTTGTTATGTCCGGGAGAGCCATATCATGCTTATGAAAGCGCTGTACTGATCTGTGGCTGGCCTTTAATGAGTCTGAAGGATTATGGATGTGTGTTTTCATGTATGAAAATAAAGCCTTTTAATAAAGTACAAATCCATTCATTTACCAAAGGCATTAGTTAATGATCCAGTAAAATGTAGGATGCTCGGTGGTAGAAGGATGAGTGTTTTACTTGAATTAACTTAAAGTACAAACAGATTTTCCATTTTTAAAACTATACCCAATTGTCTCCATTTGAAGGCAATTTGGACTCACGAATGTCAACTCCCTGGCTACCGAAAAGAAAATAATTAGATGGGGGTTTATGTATTGATTTATTGTTACAGTGCACATTTTCACCACTTCATTACTTGTTCGTTTTTCTTTTTATAGTCTCATCCAAGTTAGATTTTGTAGGTGGCCAGGTTAAATCAGTATTCAGTGTTATTCTGTTCAAACCTGAAAGCAGAACTGACAATACACTGTAAGATAAAATATTACATATCACCTATAACTTGTGTTAACCTTTTCTTGTGTGATGCTCTATTTTATTTTAAATTTACAATAAAATGTTGCAGTTGATTTTACAATTCAGTTAAATCCAAGCACAGACAAGAAACGTTGCATTGGAGGAGGAGAAACAAACTTTGGAGGAAATTTATTAAGGTGTTGACAACACATTTACATCTAATTTTTAACTCAGCTGATTAAATCTGTCTGTTTATTTTTCATCTGTTGCTTCTATTATACCTTAACCGTAATTTCTTAATATATGCTCTTTTTTTTGGTGACGTAATGGATTATCAATCTTTCTGACCCTCTCCGACATAAAAATGCTGAATTTGTAGGTCACTTTCAGAACACTTTAATAAATACAATTAAAATAATGATGGGATTTTACATTACATTTTAAGACCTCATTCACTTACTATTAGTGATGTCCCTAACTGTTCAACGAACTGTTCGCCACGGTTCGCCACGAACGGTTCGCCGCGAACTCCGGTCAGCAGACACATTCCAGCCAATCAGTAGCAGACCCTCCCTCCCAGACCCTCCCACCTCCTGGACAGCTCACTAAGAATGCAGCTTCAAAATGGATGCTGTCCAGGAGTTGGGAGGGTCTGGGAGGGAGGGTCTGCTGCTGATTGGCTGGAATGTGTCTGCTGACCGGAGTTCGCGGTGAACCGTTCGTGGCGAACAGTTCGGCGAACAGTTCGGGACATCACTACTTACTATGTCTTCTCCAGGTCACAAATGATCTGTGTCTACATGAAAATATTTGATGCACGTAGTGAGGATGTCTTAAAACTGACTGGCACCATACAAAAAATTCTGAAAAATTACAGTTCACAATTAATTTGGCAAAACATTTAAGTCTTATTCCAAAATTTGTGGCTCGGTTGAGGTTTTAGTACCGTATATGATTGTTAATGGTATATTTTATTTTAAAAACAAAACAAACATCCATGAAACAAACAACACATGTACTGCCAAATGTCAATTTTGTCTAAATTATAATTGTATTTTTTTTTTTTAATTCAAACCTTGTTATCACAGACATTATTCGATATCATCGGGCCTCATGCTTCGGCACCTGAATGCGTGATTTTCGGGTTATATCCAACCTTGTTCTCAACAGGGCAGAGTAAGGTGATCAGTGTTATTTTCTCAGCTGTAAAATCTTTAATAATTTGTGAAATCTATCTTAGTCCTGGCCCTACCACAAGTTATTACCCTCCGAAAAGAAATCAATTAGAATAAATGGATTCTATACAGTGATTTCCTTGAAGACCTATGATGGAACATAGTGACATATCTGTTTAAATGTCTCTACTACTGGGGCTATAACTTCAGTTGTGTAAGACCCAGGCAGCAGTCGGGAGTCGGAGTTAACAGGTTGGTAGAAGTTTTCAACCTTGGTACGTACCCCATTGAAGAACACTATCTGCAAATTAGAAATGTTATAATGTGCTGAGTGAGGAACTGTTGGTCCATATAATCATTTCTGTTTTGTAATGTATTTTATTTACTGTACTGATGCAACTGACTCAATTGTTAATATGCCAACATGCTGGTTATAACGTGCCAATAATTATATGAATGCCATTGTTAACTTTCTGAAACTCTCAATAAACAGATTGTTACAAATAAAACCTTGTCATACTTTTACAACAAATTTAGCAGATTCTAAACATGGCTATGAATTTGATAGGCAACTAGAATCCAACTCATATTATCAGGAAGCTTTGCAGATGTCAGATGCGCACATTGGCATTGTCTAGGTACCAGTCTTTTCCATTTTCGTTGTTGTTTGGTTTTTTTTAAATTTGTTTTGTTTCTATTTACATATTACCATTTTACAGTGTAACCAAGTAAGTAGAGCAGAAACAGACATATGAAAAAAAGTAAAAACATAAACGTTCATCTGTAGTGGTCTCCTGCAGTATGTTTATTCCAGGCAGTATCTGAAACCCACACCCCAAGGCCAACCTAAAGGGAAGTAGCACCACCAGTTGTAGGAGTTTCTCTAAGTCGTTGTTACTGAATTTTTTTATTTTTATTTTAAAAGCATCATAAACCTCAGGTATGGGGTTAAGACATACATGCCATGTTGCTAATGAATTCTTGGATTCTTGAATACCTGATTCGTGCTGATAGCCTTTCAGATGTTGTCTTGTTTAGAAATGGACTTTCTTATAAAATCATTTACCCATTGCGCACTTATTGTAATTGTCCAGTAGAATTTTTGAAAGACAAATCTCTACATGTTTCCCATTAAATTAATTTAATTCTCTTTAGACTTTGCTATCTGTGAATTATATTTCTCACCTAGTTTTATAAGCCAACAGCTCAGAATATTTCTCGTGCTACTGATCCTCCTATATTCTTATGCCTTACATTCATTTCCCCAAACTCCGGCCCTCCAGATGTTGCTGAACTACAACTCCCATGATTCTATGAATGAAATAGATCGGCTGAGAATCATGAGAGTTGTAGTTCAGCAACATCTGGAGGGCCGGAGTTTGGGGAAGCCTGCCTTACATGAATATGGCTGCACAGTTAACAGTAGTAAAGACTTCTTGATGTGAAAAGATTTAATCCAGGAACAAGTACACTCCTACCATGCTGTTAACCCTTAGAGTGCCAGATGTCTTGCTTTGCATAGCTTTTGGCAGATTTGACACTTAAATGGTTACATATTTAATTTTAGTGCTATATTGTAAGTGTAACCTGGACATAAATGAAATTGTATGTAATATAAAGCTAAAAAAAAAAAATTAATCTGTAAGAAATACTTGCTACATACTTCATTTGTCTCACCCTCTAATTTCCACCGAAACATAGAAAATGCACCCAGCAACATGCTCAATATATATTACAGAAGTGGAAAATCCTTCAATTAGATATACTTAGAATAATTTAGAGAGAAATCATATATAGATCATTTATCACTTCCAAATAATGTAAATGCATGAAAAGAAAAGAAAAAAATGATAGTGCTAAACATTTTAAACTGTAGAAGTTACAATCATACAAAAGAGGATTCAGTGTCTGAAGCTACTCTCATCTTGTAGAGCTACTACTGTGTTGTGTTCCCAGTCACTTTATAATATAAATACTTTAGAATCAACCCATGTTATACATGGCTTTGAGTTCTATTCCCCTGTGATTTTTAAAATATGATTTTTATTTTTTTTAAGCAACTTTCAGTTATTCAATCAGGCAATGCAACGAATCATGCTGTTAGCATGTTTTAATATTTATTTTTCACAGAAACAAAATAATTTGCTTTTCAGATACACAATAGAACCAAAAAAAAAAAAACAAATAATGAAAATTAAACATGTTTTGTTTTTAAATTTTAAAGAACACGCTTGAAACGAAGTGTATTAAAAGGATAAAAAAAAGCCTTGACTTATATTTTGTGTGCTAGATTTAAATAGGTCATTGGTCTTGAATTGGAAGAACTGGGTAACCCCGTTATTATCAAAATCATGTATACTTTCAATATGAATTTTCAGTATGCATTGTGATACTATGCAAAATAAAATTGATACTACAATAGTTGCCTTCTTTTTTGGTTAAAAAAAAAAACTTACAAAGGGACTGAAAATAGCATGCCCTTTCCCTCCTCTTATACAGTAAACAAGTTTAATTATAA